GTCAGTTGTGTTTTGAACGTTGAAATAATGTTGATAGAACGTTTAATGTTGAATGGTTGAAAAACAGCCTGCATATGACAAGGCTTCAACGTTGAAATGTGGTTGAAAATATGTCAGTTGTTGCTTTAATGTTGAAACAATGTTGAATGATAAATGGTTGAAAAAAGTTACAGAAATCCTTGTACAAATCAACGTTGACATTTTTTTATCATGATCTGTATGTTGAATTAACGTCATGGCTTCACCCAACATTCAACATGTTTGGTTACCATGGTATTGGAGGACTCCGCGCACGCGGCCACGCAGCGCTTCACTTCACTTAATTACGAACACCTGACCTGCAGTGCAGCAGAATTCCGAGGTAAGCGTGTTTTTAGATGCTTTAACGTTTTATTTACCCCCCGATTTTGTCAGTGTATCTTATACGTGACTTTTGAGGTGTAGTGTTTCGAATTTTGAAGCATTTAAAACTTTCCAGTTTGTTTTTAGTCTTGTTTGCGCTCCGGTGACGCGCAGCTAACCTCGAGGTAATGTCACATGTTTAACGTTAGTCTAAATGAGCGTTTTTATGGCAAATTCAAAGCGATAAACTCCAAACGCAGTTTAAAGTTACTGAGCAACGTTATAAAACAATATCCATTTTAAACGCTGTATTATTAGTGTTATTATTACAAAGTTAACTGCTGTCGTTTCACTGTTGTTGTTGTTTTTGCTTTTAGACATGTAACTTACTCCAGAGACGCACTAACTTGCACAGCATTGAATGGAAAAGGCTTTGTCCATGTAAGTTTACTTTACCTTTAACTATCTGTTAAATCTTCTTGGTGCTTTGGTTGGTGATATTCTCTTTCTAATCTGTTTGTTTATTGATTGTTAGGCTATGTTGTGATATTATATTGTTATATTGATATTATTATTGTGAAATCATGTTGTGATGTTATATATGTGACAGTATTGGGGAACAAATATGTATTTAGTGAGAAATTAATGCTTAAATTACACTTTGTATAGTAGCAGATAAAAGGTGTAATGGGTTTTAACTTTCTGAGTTTTCTGGAAGGTCCAGTTGAGGGCATCAAGAACACGCAGATGGCCTAAACCTGTGTCAGCCTGGACAGACTGCAGTTCTGCTACTCCACGCCAAGGCTTTTGTATGGATGTCTTGACTGCTACTGTGTTCTCTAAAGGTATTACTGGAGCAAAACAACAGCACCCGTTACAGTGAAATTTGTATTCAAAAAAAATAGTGATACATGTGTAGCAGGTCCAGTACATGTGATGTCATTGAGAAGTTGTTTTATTAAATGTCATTAAAACAAATAAATAAACATGCTATTTAAATAAATCTAAATATTAAAAACTTGAGGATTAAGATGACAAATGAAATGCATCATCTGTCTTGCGAAAAGGGTCTACTTAAGAATTCTGGTGTTTTCCAACTGAAAGGGATAGTTCACCCAAGAATGAAAATTTACTCACATTTTACTCCCCAAATGGTTTAAAACCATTATGAGTTTATTTTGTTGAACACAAAAGAGGCTATTCTGAAAAAAACTAAAAACCTGTAAACATTGACCTCCATAGTAGAAAAAAATACTATAGAAGTCAATGGTTAAATAGATTTGCAGCTTTCTTCAAAATATCTTTTGTGTTCAACGTGGTCAGTAAATGACGACAGAATACAAATTTTTAACTATCCCTTTTATTCTCTGTCCTACATGCAGACTTTTACAGAAGTGCTACTCCTTCTAGAGTTTTTCTCAACCATGTCTAAAAAGCTTTAAACAGCTTTTACAGTACATGTAATGGTTTACAACAACTTGTAATTATTAGATGTGTTGAATGTTTCATGATTCTTTACTGCAGCCTTTGTTAAAAAAAAAGAAAAAAAAAAGCAATTTTTTCGAGAATCTGAAATTTGAATTCTGGAAATGCTGGCACCGGTGGTGGCGAAGGGCTTCCTGACGACATCACACCTAATTCTTCACTTCTCTTAGTTAGGAATATTCAGATGTATGAGTCAAAATTATTGAGTGTGACAATATTATAGGACAAATTTGGATTCAATAAAAATAAATATTTGAATTTCACTTTGTATAATAGCTGATACCAACTTAGTTGTAACCTCGTATTTCATTTATTGCAGGTTTTCTGGAAGTTCCATTTGAGAGCATCAAGGACATACTGATGGCCTAAACCAGTGTCAGCCTAGACAGACAGACAGACATCTATTGCAGTTCTGCTACACAAGACCAAACTCTCTGCTTTTGTATGGATGTCTGACTAGTATGGTGTTCTCTAAAGGTGTAACTGGAGCAAAACAACAGCACCCGTTACAGTGAAATTTGTGTTCATAAAAGATAGTGATATATCAGGTATAGTAACAGGTCCAGTACATTTGTCATAAAGGTTAAATCACAGTAAGTACTGTAAAAATAACTTGTTTGCCTTTGCCACAACAGGTCATGGTGTGTGCAAACTACTCGTAGTAAACACACACGCTGATCTGATGGGGGAGAGATATACGCAAACACATTTGTATTTACTGTTTTGTTTTGCCTCACTAAAGTGTTGTTGGAGCTTGGTATGTTCACAGTTGAAATCACTGAAGTCACATGGAACGTTTTGACAATGTGTTTTGTGCCTTATCTTGACAATGACCATCTTGGGACCATTGCTGTCTGTAGAGGATGAGGAGCATTTAATCTAAAATATTTTAGTTTGTGTTCTGAAGATTAACAAGTCTCTGGGATGACACAAGTAATTAATAACAGAACCTATATGAACACTTAATGTGACATGTAATAGTGAAATAGTGGTCCTACATTCACAAATGTGAGCCATTATTATAAGACCCATGTGAACATGCAATTTTTATGATACTAATAATAATAATGGAATAACAAATTGCTTTTACTGTTGTGTTTGTGAGAGAGAATCAAACCATATATTCTACACATTTTCTTGATGATTTACTGAAATATTTGTCTACATGTTCCACTGTCACAGGTGCTCAGTTTTGCTGCAGTAATGCTAAACACAATAGATTTACTTTATACAAAAAAAATAAATAAATAAATATTTAGCATGCAGACCTGCAAAGTGAAGCAGTAATGTCAGGTTTAGATTATAGCATGAGTTTTCACTATTGTGAAAGTGAAGCCATTCATTCACAATGAATTGGAATAGCAAACCTCATTATTGATTTTGTAGGAAACTCACCTGGTGTTTGAGAAATAAATATGTATTTAACTGCTAGACTGATATAGATGTTTAAGTGTTTTACACTTGATTTTTTGTCCCCAGTGCCATCTTTTACCTCAAGTGTTTCTCTCAACCTATAAAACCTCAAACAGATGTAATGTATTTCACTTGTGATTCTTAGTTGTGAGTGATGTTTTTTATTTTATTTTTTTACTGCAGCCACTTTAAAAATGGGTATTTTGTAAACTTTGTAAACAGAATTGTATTTTGGAGACTGTGATGGTTGAAGCGTAGTTTAGTTACTTAGTTTAATTTAGTTAGTATCTGTCTTTCTGAAGACGGTAACACTTTACAATAAGGTTGTATTAGTAAGTGTTAATGTATTTACTAACATGAACAAAGAGCAATGAAGCATCTTTCATATAAAGAAAGTACAGTTCATGTCAGCTCAGTGCATTAATGTTAACAAGCATACATTTTGATTTTAATAGCATCGGGACATATTTCAATTAATTAAATGATTAATAAATGCTGTACAAGTATTTGTTCTTTGTTCATGTTAGTAAACATTAACTTTAATTCATGAAACCTAATTAAAAAGTGACTATTTAATTGTATGCCTTTTTTCTGTATTTGAGTGTACAGCATGTATAGTAACCTGCATGGTTTTAATGAACTATGTATGCTGTAAATGTTGCTGTATATTTAGAATAAATGAAATGAGGTGTGTATTAAATAAATTGATACACAGACTAAGTTGTGTATTTGTGTCGTGTATTTTTTGTTAGTAAAAATTTGTTTGCTATATTTATGGACTTTGCGTTGTATGTAATTTCTATTTAACTTACGTTGAAATGTATGACGGTGAAACAACGTCACGGTATCAACGTTGATCCAATTTGCAAAATCGAAAGGTAATTCAACCTTCATTCAACGTCTACAAAACGACCACAATTCACCCATGAAGAAGGTAAGAGTGTAACAACGTTGTGATTTCAACGGTGAATCACCGGTGGTGGTCCGACGGTGAAACAACGTCACTATATAAACGTTGATCCAATTTGCAAAATCGAAAGGTAATTCAACGTTGATCCAACCATAGACCTGACGTTGATTCAACGTTGAATCACCGTTGAAATGCCGGCTGGGTAAATAAAAACATCTATAAACTATGGATGTTGTCTTGGATATCAGAAATATAAAGTATGTGCATTATAGCTGAATTATTGATTGAATTAATGAATATTTAACAGTTGCATATGACTCATCCTCATCAAATGCAAAAATATAAAACTAATAATTACATTTTATAAGGGATTTAATACAGGATTATTTTATTTTTACTTTACTTTCCATTGCAAGTAACATTTATGCTCATTTATAAAAACATACTTTAAATTTATTTAAATACATTTGACATTTAGAGCAAAGTGAAACAGGCAGTTTAGCATACAGTGTATTTGACATCTCAAAAACAACACAGAAAAACACAAAGTATTATGTTATCATGTATTGTGTAATATTTGTAAAAGTGATCTTTGATAAATCTTATGAGAATTTGTGAGAAAAAAAATAGCGTAAAAGTGTGCCTTTACAAAATTTACAAATTCACAAGTATCAACAAGCAATTAAAAAAACGTGAACAGTTATTATAGTATTATACAAGACATTTATAAAAATTCAAGTGTTTAGTGTACAATATTAGACCAAGGCCAAAAAAACAAAACAAAGCTAATGTACAAAGTAAAAGTCCTAGGTGCATGTGGGTCTTGTAAGTCAGATGGTGGAGGAAGTCCTTATATGGCACAGTCATCCTGAGGGGAGGGGCTGAAGGCGGAGCTCCGCAGGAGATCCAGACAGTAGACAAGAATGAGGGAGCCAGTGATGTGTCTCCAGCGTTTGGTGATGGGGTTCTTCATTTTGTCCAGTCCAGTGTGAAGCTCCTGAATCACGTCCCTGTAGCTGTCCCCGATCTGTGCTGCCCATGTCACCAGGAAGTCATATGCGGGTTTCCACATGGCCTTTATGGAAATAAATAAGTTGGATTGTCACAGATAGACCTGCATACATATGACATTTAGGTGAGCGAAAATTATTTCCCAGAAAAAAACCTAGCACCTAGTCTGCATTACAGCAAATATGTGCAAATATCCTGAGCTTGTAAAACAAAGTGCAAGAGGAAGCTCATAATCTCATCAGTTGTTTGACAGAATGCTCGGGTTCCTCTTGTAAGCTGAACGCAAACACATAATCATGACCAGTGGGTTTCCAGTAGTTGCTGCTCAAAACCTCTTCTTGGAAGTTATTTATTTTCTTATATAATCTCCAATCCAAGCGTATAATATAATCTATGTTGTGTATATTTTTAAGTTTGTTTACATAGTCTGTTGTATGTCTACATTTGGTTTACTTAGTTGTTTTTACGTTATTTAGTCATGTCACAACAATTTAGGACATTGTATGAACTATGCACAGCAGTTTTCCAACCTGATCTTAAGTATTTCAGATTTTGAATGCATTTGTTGAATTCGATTAATGTGAAAATATGTTTTTAGGAAAAAAAAAAAAAAAAAAAAAACATTATTTAGAATTTAGTCAAATGTCCATACTATTACAAACTTTGCAGATTTAATGTTAATTTCATGAGTAAGGTAATGTACGAATTCCATATTCCAAATGAATATTTCAAGACTTATAAAGATAATTGTGTTATGTAAAGTTAATTATGAAGAATTTATGAATTACGTGAAGTTTGTTCAATATATTTTTTTGTAGTTGAGTGCAGGGTTGCCAGGTCTGGATAACAAAACCTGCATAATTGTTAGTCATTAGCCCAATTGTGTTTTGGGCTGGGCGGGTTATCCCTGCGTGTAAAAATTGTATTTTGGGACTGTCCAAAACCTTTATTTCACTGACATTCCTTTGCTAAAACTGTAATTCAGGTGGGTCCCCATTTAGTTAAAAAAACATTTTGTGGTCTGTCACAGCTGAAACCCTGTGGACCAATAAAAATAAATAATAGTATGATAACCTTGGATAAAAATATCACTCTTCCATGGTGTTGTGATAACTGCTCTAAAATAAGTATTTTTAAATGTCTAGGTAAAAAAAACAACAACCATCCCCCTACAATATAATATTTTGGAACAGTAAACATGTCATGTCATAATTAAAATAAATAAATGATTTCTGCCACCTTCACTAGTTTCAAAACCACAGATTCCCTTAAAACACATGAAAAAAAAACAATAATGATAATAATTTTTATTTATATAGCACCTTTCCAGAGCCCAAGGACACTTTAAAAGGAATGCAACAAAAAGATAAACAAACATACATGAAGTCAAATGTAACAAACTGGAATTACACAAACAAGACCTAGAAGACAAATGAGCAGATTGGAGGTCGATCAGATAAAGTAGTCAGTTTGGCAGTTTAGAAGCGAAGCATTCAGAAAATAAAAGGGTCTTAAGTAAGGATTTTAATTCAGAGATATTATAAGCAGAGCGGAGTGAGCGTGGTAGAGAGTTCCAGAGTTTGGGTGCAATAACACTAAATGATCTGCCCCCCATTGAAGAGAGGCGGTACCGAGGGACAGCGAGAAGGCCAGAGTCAGCGAAACGTAATGAACGAGTTGGGGTGTAGGGGACAAGCATGTTGCAGAGATAGGAGGGAGCTAGGTTATTTAGGGATCTAAATGCAAGGAGGAGAATTTTGAATTTAATGCGATAAGCAACTGAGAGCCAATGGAGTTTGTACAAGATTGGGGTTATGTGAGCAGAACGTTTGGTATAAGTGAGTATTCTAGCTGCAGAGTTTTGAATATACTGTAATCTGGAGATGAGGCTGGCAGGCAGACCAATGAAAAGAGCATTACAGTAGTCAATGCGTGAAGAGACAAATGCATGGATGAAAGTCTCAGGATCCTTGCTACTGATGAAGGGACGCAGTTGGGAAACGCAACGTAAATGAAAGTATGCAGATTTAATAACAGATTTAATGTGAGACTGAAAAGAGGACGTGAAGTCGAAGATTACACCTAATTTTTTACAGAAGTAGATGTTTTAATTTGCGAGTCAGCAATCTCACAGGAGAAACTGGTGGAAATATTGTTGGTAAGTGCTAGGGTGCCAATAAAGATCATCTCAGTTGTTGCACATACCCAAGTAATCTTGCATATACCTAAGGAATGGTAAAACTAAAATTTAAGCGGTTTTAAATCTTTTCTATACCGTGTTAAACCTGAAACTGGCTATCGTCCCATGCCTAATCAACTTCACAGCAAAACCTTTAAAAGGAAAGTTTTAAGGAATAGAAACCCAAACTGACATTTGTCATAATTTATTTAACTTCATGTTACTCCAAATTGAAATGTCATTCCTGGATAATAAAAAGAAACATTCATTTTTTTTGCAATAAATAATTCTGCAGTAACTTTTTTTTTTGTTTTTTTACTGTAGAAATGAGTAAATGATGACAGAGTGTTTAAGTTTGGTTGAACAGTTTCCTTGAATGTTTTCTGAGTTTGTTTTACCTCACTGTCCAGCTGTCCTCTGCTGTCTCTGTGTGGAGCTTCATATGCTTCCATCTGCTGCCGGGAAACTTTAGCCAGCTTTTCTGCCAGCTCCCTCCAGCGACCTGCCACCTCCACGGCAGTGGTCAACAGCACAAAGTCCATGACCAGCCTAGCCACCAGACCCTGACAGTCCATCTTCAGAAGAGCCTAAACCACACATACAGTTTAAGATCAACAAGGTACAACACGATGTTCATAACTACAAGTATAATTAAAGATGTTAGAGTTTTTTATGATTTAGTGAGGCACCCTTGACATACATTGTATAGATATAAAAAAGATACTTGTCAAATAATTATACACTGTAAAAAAAATATGATCCACATGACATGACAACATATGTTTTTAGTTCAATGTAACTTATAAAATTAAGTTAGAACATAATTATCTTAGTTTAAGAAGTTAAGCAAGCTGTTTTAGGTTAGGTTAACGTAATATAAGTTTAATGGACTTTTCAGGTTAATTTGATTCAGCTTAAAATATTAAGGCGAGCAGGATTTTCTTTACAGTGTAGTAATGCAGGCATGTGTTTTTGGGTAAATTATGCCATTAAATGCAGTTTTATATATTATGCATATTTTCCAAGCTCTGCATTATAATTGTGTTTTCAGACATTCTCTAGCAGCATGTAAAATGTTTAATATTTGATTTAGCTTGTTTTCTGTTTAATATCAGCCATTTAGTTATCAGCTAGAATATCTAAACTATATACTATTTTATGTATGGAAAATAGTTTTTGCTCTATCAGTATTGACCAGAATTTTTGTCAGTATTTTTTTATGCTGATTAAACAGTATATATCAGACAATGAGAATAAATATCTGTTTGAATATTTGGCACAGCAAGTTCCTTTAAATAAAATATGTATCTGTTTATTTGTTACTGTTGTTTATTTCAGCCTTAATCATCTGATGCCTTGTCTTCTGCTATTTAAAAAAAGCAAACTATAAAACTAAGCACCACTACAAAAGATCTGAACCCGTCATGAGTTAAAGTCATCATGCAGGGCACTTTGATAAATTTGCCGATATGCAGGAAGCGACGTGCAATGCTCCTGTGAGCACAACATAATGAGACTGACTCCGGGCCCCTTGGACAAGGGAAATGTTAGGGAGGAATATCCGGCCTTCTGCTGGCAAATGTTCTGTCTTATTAACGTGACCTTCTTTTCTCCCTGAGACTTAGTGACATTTAAAAAAACTGAATAAGGACTTACGTTCACTGTACCTTGTGAATATATGACATTGGAAATGTCCGAAACTGTTATCTGATTTTGAAGGCATGACATTTTGCTCTTTGTTAGAGCTTTGTTGTATAACAAAGAATCTGCAGATGGCACAGTGATGCAGTTCATTTTGAATTGGTCAATATGCAGGTGTTCTTCATAGGCTTGAACATGCTGGCATGTACTAACATACATCAGCAGCAAGTGTTTAAAAGTTACACACCCTAATCTCTGATTCCAGTTCTGTGCCTTGGAATGTTTGGAATGACAGGAAGTCTGCTTTAAAGGGGGAGGAACACTATGCTGATGCCCCAGAAGACCTGCTAAAGGACTGACTCCAAACAGAGCAATAAGATAACGGCGGTCCTGCATGGCTTTCCTCTTATCAGACATGCTCTACAAACAAACAGGAAGGTATGTCTTTGACTTGTGCATTCAGTTAGTTCTTAGAAAATATCAGTACAATTTATTCTCATCTTGACATGTAAAGGCCCCTAGGAATCTATCTGCCTGTTTTTCTATCTATTATAATAATAGTGCCATATGAAATTGGTAAAATTTATTCTGCATTTTTAATTTTATAATCACATGAAGGCATAAAATATATTTTTTTATAATTTTAATTAAACAATTGCTTTTATTTTTACAAAGCAAGTGCTGCACATTGTGAGGATTTGTCATGTGTAAACCTTTGATTTAGTATGTCTACATCATATGACAATAGCTTTATCAAATTAAAGGTTGAAATGCAGGTGAAGTGACTCACTTAGTACACAAATACACTTTATTGAAAATGTACACATTATAGACATCACCTTTTTTTACTGTGAAAAACTCTATACACTAATATAACTAAAGCTTAATATATAATGTTAGGCTTTAATGTTAAGCTGTATAATATATAATGCTCCCTATACACAACCCCTTAACTTTTCTGATTTTGATTGCAATGCAAGTAATGTCAAATGAAAAGCACAATTCATTCACACCTGCATGCAGAACATGCATTTCACATTTAATTAGTCTTTTTGCAGTACTATACTCGCAGACATCCACATCACCATTTGTTTGTGTATAGAGGCAGACGTTTGTTCCCAAATTTGCCAAATTTCTTGTTATTCCAAGTAAAAGCAGTGACTGTCTGGGTGCAAGTCAAAGGAGAGGTATACTGTGTGTATCACACTGTTTACACATGACTGTGTGCATTAGTCAAGAAAAGATAAGGCCTTTCATGTGCACCTGTTTTCTGAGGTCTCACTCCTGACCCACAGTCAGAAACAGCACCCTGTCTCATCAGACGTTTCACTGTGGTATCTTTAACCATTTCGTCACCCTGGAATTATAAGGTTCTATCTGATTTATGAATGATTTTGAGATATTGAGCTTTTGCGTTTCATAACAAAAAGTATGTTTGTAACATTTGTGTTTATAAATAAAAAGTCTTAAAATTTAAACAACTTATAAAAAACATACCATAATGTAAGTTGACAATTAATAAGAATATGTCAGTTCCTCTATTTTGACAAAAATTCAGATAGAACCTTATACAGTAGTTCTAAGGTGATGATTTGTCATTGCCTCAGATATTAAAGGAGTAAAATGCAGTAAGCTCTGACTAGAAGCTAAGAAAACTTTTAAGTTTATTTTTAAAATTGTTTTTAAATTATCAGAATTTTTTAAATGACAATAATTTTAGTAAAAGTTCAAATGTTTTTTATTTTTTATTTTTTTGTTGCTTTTTTAAAAAAGGTTAAATTACAGCCACTGTTGTTGTCACAATGACTTGCATTAACACAGATCTACAAAAACAACTAAAAATGCTTTATTGTCCATGCCAGGCCAGTGGGTGGATTTGTCACTTTATAAACAAACACTTTGCATTGTGCGCTTGCGGTCCTGTAGTCTGCCATTGTTGTTTGGCATGTAAATATAACCGAATATGTACTACACAGAGAGTCGGCAATTACAGTACATAAAATCAAAAAAATTAAACCACTTCTGCTCCAAACACCTGATTTCAAAAGTTATTAGCCCTTGTTGTGGTTTTAACTGAAGATAGCGAAGTGTAATGCTCCTGAAAGTTCAACATTTTCACAATTAATTTAAAAAAAATTGTTGGGATTTCACAAAAAATTGTGAAATAGAAGCAGAAATGTGTAGGTTCTTACACAAAGCAAATGTTTCATTTTTTCAGCGCTCTGAGCCTCTTGTCTCTTTGATTTATTTGTTTTATTGTGTGAGCAGATTCTTTGTTTCTAATGACTCATTTGTTTTGGATGAGTGGACCCAATGAACTTAATTTCGGAGCAGAACAACTTTATTGCTATGCTAATGTTCTGTCAAATTGAAACAGTTTTAAAAAGGGGTTTGTTCATTTGACCTATAAAATATCTGTGTAAATAACACAGCAACATCACGATGTCATGCACATTAGAATTGTGTAGCACATGGAGACGTTTGAACTCAGTCAGGCATTGAGTTTCAATTAGCTATATATTATACACAGTTACATTTATAAACTGGTTGACACTTTCATCCAAAGCGACTTGCAAGGAATGCATGATACAAATGTTTAATCAGCTTATTTCCCCTGAGAATCTAATTGACTAGCATTGCTAGTGTCACAATCTAGCAGTTGACCTTCTATATTAGGCTATAATTTATTACACACAAAGCCTGTTGGAGCAAATAATGTTTTAACATGCTATAAAAATCCTCGTTTTTTTAAACATCTGACATTTTGATTCATGCATCAGTATCTTTCATCCTGTCTCTTTTGATTTCCTTTTACATCAGCATTTGGTTGCCTTTTTCCGTTTTTAACCCATTGTCAGAAATTACTGACCGTTTATACAGAAGCGCTCTAACAATAGACAAAGGGAAATGGGAGGATACTAAAGAATCAAAGACTGAAAGTTCAGAGGCATTCACATGTTCTTCCTCAGCAAGTTTTTCCTGACCATTAATAAAGCCAAGACTAGAGTACTTGCAAGGAAAAAGTATTACAGCTGGAACTTTAACTAATTAAAATAGAAACGGCAAAGTTCTTTAGCTGTTCAGTCATAATGCCAATATGGACGCCAACCCAAAAGACTAATTCACTACGTGTTCCCTTGGGAATTTCTAATGGCTTTGAAAAGTCGCATTTGCCAGACTGAGTGTAATTTATTTTCTAGAACAAAACAGGAAAGTCTCTTCATGTAATGTTAACCACAGACCTCATTTTATTCATAAAACATAAACCACTGTTCTAAAAACCTCTTAGAAGTCCCAGAGGGAATCCATTGCTCTGAAATACTAAATCCTGAATTTGTACTGTTGATGTGTGAGGTTTGTGTAGTTTAGGGCGTCCGTCATTTTACATGTGATGCTCCTGCATAGATGCTAACAATAGAAAAGGAAACATCTGCACAGCTAAGATTCTCCTTCGACAAGTCTTGTCTTCCGGCATTTTCACTCTTGAGTTTTATCACATTTGAGATGGTCACAGATGACCCTAATTTTAGTTCATGAAGAACATAACTCTGTGCATCTGGCATTAATTTAGTGTGCTTCACTGCAGTGATGTGATCTATCTAAACAGATTTTCTCATCTATATTATCAATTTCATTATTTTAATCTCACTACAAATATTGACGCAGAATTACTTTCAGCTCATAGCTATTTCAGCTAAGTGTCTGTACTAACAAAGCTTGTGCATGTCTCTGCATGCTTTATATGATCTGTTGCTGCATGTTGATATCAGATACTGAAGATATTCTGTCTTGTGCCTTGTACTTTGATTGCTCTCTTTTTTGTGTGTATCAAGTCACAGGGTGCTTTTGTTAAAGCTACACATAACTGAAAAAGTTGCTAAAAGTGTGGGGGAGGGGTGATGTCGTCAGGAACAGTTTGTGAGTCGGTACTTGAACTCAGGACTCCTGAAATGCAATGGCATAACTGTCCACTAGGGTATGGGCACTGATTATAGACTGTAAGACATATGGACATGGAATTCATGACGTCCCTCATAGGTTTCTGAAGAGTGCAAAGGAAGCAACAAGTAGGCGTGGCCAACCGTCAGCGCACCGACAGCGGCTGACCAAAAAGGGGCAAAGAGGCAGAGCTACAGAAGTCTGCTAGCATTTTACTTAGATGGGTTTTTCTTTGGGAGAACGCTTCATTACCTGCTTGGTTGTATACTACATCAATAAAGTGTTTAGTCTTTTAAAAAACACTGTTGTATTACATTGAACCATTAAGCATTTTTATGACGTTTTTTTACAGGAGGAAAACACTAATTACTTCCAAATACTTCAAATATAGTCTCTATTAGTAATTGCAAGGCTATTTATAAAATCCAGACATAATGACAACGTTTCAGTTGACTGTTCTATTGCCTACTACAGCTAATCAATCTGTCAGATTCTGGAGTGCTTTAAAGGTCTAAAGAAAATCATAAAAAATAGATTTTCTTCAATAAAACAAATACATTTTTAGAGATGGCATATACATATATAATTTCACCCACCTGGGAAATGGAGGCCACATGAATGGTTTGTGAGCACAATTACATGCACACAGTATGGTATATTATCTGATAATTGTAGAAAATAATTACAAAAGGCAGTTGACTGAGCAAAGCCACATTTAAAAAAAATGCAATGTATGTGCAGAGTTCAGTGGCTAATCTGCCGTAATCAGCTGAGGTGACATGACAGTGACCTCTTAATTATGCAGACTTAATATAACTTAATAAAAATGAAATGGATGAGTTCTAAAAAAATGTACCCCCCTCATAGTTGTCATGAAGGGTAAAATTAGCTATATGCACCAAAACCATCTGTTGTACCAGGCTGTAAATATGTTTTTATCAGCTGTAAAATTGGCCAATTTAGCATTGCAGTCAGTGAACATCTGGACTTCCTGAAGCCAGCCCCTAAAGGCGAGTCAATGAATTGCAGTTACAGTTACTTCTGTTTGCCGCTTGACACTGATATGTTTATGTTTATCATTGGAATGACCTGTTTCTTTTATATGTCAAAATAAGCTTTGTGTTTATCATTAAAGCAAGTATGAAATGTCACGTGCAAGCAAAACACACATAACATTTTTGAGAATGGCTTTTTTGGACTGCTGTAGCTGGCGAACGTCTTTATTTCATTTGTAACTTTTCCCTTTATATGTATAGACAGATTCAGAAGTAAATCAAAATGAATTAAAAAAGTTAAATTAAAAAGCTTAATGGTTAGACAGTCTGTGGTCCATTCAGCTGTGGCGCAAAGCAGCTACAGGGAATAAGCCGTAGGAAAGTTGGTCAGGTGAGTGGGTTAGAGAGTAAGGCTTGTGATCTAAAGGTTGCAGGTTTGAGTCTCGGGACCAGCAGGGAGTGTTGGTGCAGCAGTGAGTGTACAGCACTCTCTTCTTTCCTCATACAGCTAAGTGAGACCCTCTAAGCAAGGCATTTAATCCCCAATTTGGGAGTGTGTTCACTGCTGTTTGTGTGCACTAGGTTTGGGCCTTCATGACTTTCCTTCCTTTAAAATTATGAAGAGCTATAGTTTAGATATGCATGGTTTTTAAGTGATTGTTATTTAGATTCTTCACTATGATTGAAGTGTCTTTGTTTAGGCAATTACACACTGCACAGCACACTGATTGATGCGTAACTGAGCAGATATTAAAAAGTGTATTTGTAAAATAAGTAGCCAAAATGAAACTGGACTTTTGCAAAAATAACATCCTGCTTCAGGTTCCTGTTGACATAAAGATTTCCACTTAAGACTTTATTGACTCAGGAAGTTTTGGGACAAGTGACAACCAGACAAACCTGCATCTTAGCACATTATCCATTGATGTAATCTAGACCAAATGAAAGATAATATTAAAAAAACAAGCATGAGTAATAGTGTATTTAGAGCAGCTAAGGGTCATTGTTTGGCACCCTTAGATGCTCAAAATTCTCTGCAAACGAAGAGTTCTGATGCTTTATGAAATATTAACACAGCAAATGTTTATCAAACACTTATACTTCAAATATGCCAAGTCTCAGCCTTCTAGCCCAATAAGAAATACTGATTAATTGGAAGAAACGTCTGAGCACCACATCTCTGTGTAAGCTAAAGCCTCTAAAGTTTACTAAACCTAATAGAAGACTTTATAATGTGAGTAAAATAAATTATTAAAATAAATAAAAATCAACATGAATACAAGCATGCTTTCAGTTCTCAAGCTGCAATTTTGTATACTTCATTATTTTTTATTATTGTTGCAAGTTTTTTTTTTTTTTATGAGGACAAAGATACAATTGGAGATAGTGCTTTCTTTTATGAGTCAGTAGTGTTCAAGCAGAGAAATGGAATCATTCATTCATTTTCCTTTAGCTTAGTCCCTTATTAATCATAGTGGAATGAACCACCAACTATTCCGGCATATGTTTTACCCAGCGGATACCCTTCTAGTCGCAACCCAGTACTGGAAAGACAAACTTAATAATTAAATGTAAATTAACACTGCATAGTTTTTACTTTACAAATTAAACTATGTTAAGTTCTACATAACACCAAATGTTAAAGGTGCTGAACAGCACATTTGTCAAAGGGTGCTATCTGGATTGCTTTTGTGCTTTTCTGAGGTCAAAAGTCCTCTATGGAGGCCCTGCAATGTTTCCTTATATGTGGCTATTGGGGGTAAAAGGTTGAGAAACACGTTGTCTTCAGGAAATCCACTATATTTTATTGTTTTAAAATATTTTCTTAACTAAACTAAAAGAGATAGAACCTTTAAGAACTGTACAGGGACTTACTTAGCCTTACCCAATTTTCTGGCCTTTTCCATAATGTGGATGTTCAATGCCAAAATGGCGTATTGTGCTGCCATATCTTGTGTTGTTTGCTTAATTAGGTGGTGTTTTTAAAAAAGTATTCAATATATATTTTTGGGGGAAAATTTTGGCCTTTTAGAAATCAAACAACTTTGCGAAAAGAGCTTTGAGTAATATTTTGAAATATTTATTTTGAATTGCTCTGCTATTAAGTAGTGAAATGATAAATTATTAATTGTTATACACACGTTTGTTTAGTGTACTTAAGTGTATAAAAAAATCACCAGCAAGGTCAAGAATAGTTAGCAGTACCACTGCGCTATCTGGTGTCCTTAACACAAATACATAAAACAAAATTGATGCATAAGTTTGACACAACCTGTCTTTAAAATATTTAAATATTTATCAGCTTTATTAACTTTGAATTTTTTTATTATTCAAAGCAGGCAGGATGAATTACTAGAAACTTTCAACTCTTACCTTCATGAGCTCCTTCTGGAAAGACTTCCTCTCCTTGCCCTCAGCTGCATTGCAGTCTTCCTTAAGCTTCTCAAGAACACAAGCTACCTTTTCTGGCTCACTGTCTGGCTCTGTCCGGCAGAAATGTGTCAATGGCAGATTGACGAAGCCCAAAGCATCAGCAAATGCTCTCCAACTTGCTACATTTTCCATCAGTATCGTCCGAACCGATGCATAGATGTACGTCAGACACATGCAGGGCTTCAGGATCTGCTCTAAAAGCACTGTAGTCGTAAGATCTGACCCTTTATAATTAACAGGTTTCACTTTTCCCATGATAAGAATGTTTTTTGCATGCACCAACCCAATTCTTCCATGGTAGTATCCGATATACCATTCCTTTGTCCATAGATGTCCTTTCAGTTTGATTTTTTCCTCGCTTACAATAGTCATTACGTCACCTTTGAGATACTCTAGTAAATATAGGCTTTTGGACTGTCTTACAACTGTTTTCAGCAATTTAGCAAATTTCAAGTTTTTGACTAATCTGTCCTGAAATAGGGGATACTTTGTGGTTGCTGCAAGAGGAGAGAGGACTATTTTGTTCACTTCCTTTTTCTTTAGAAAGCGCCTTTGAACAGAACTCCTTGTGCTTGTTTTTGGTAGTGGGGTTGGGGTCTGAACGCAAAATTGGGCCAGAATACAGTCTTTATCATCCTTGACTTGTATTCGCAGTGTAAAGTCTGAAATGTCTGTAGAATCGCGGGCTGCGATCATGTAGACAAGGCGGGCCACTTTGCCAAGTTTGATTTGAAACCCCCTCACGGTTTTGGCCTGTTCATTGGCTCTTATTTCAAAATTGGACATGTTCGAATACATGCCAACCTGAAGATCTTGAGGTTTTGCCATTACAAACTGGTGCTTTCCCCAGAGCTGGAGGACGACAGGTGTAGTTGACTGTGAATGTTTTTTGACGTCACTTACAAGCAATGTCTTCGGGGCACAGTCATGACCAAAAATGGCCACCACTGTCTTGAAAGATGGGTGGATGTGTTTTGGGCCATACACCCCAAGAGTGACCTTTTTTACAACATGTTCCCAGACTGTGTTGTAAGGAGCCACTGTTTGTGCCTGGGCCACCACAGAGACATACATGCAAGGCTCTAAATTGTCCAGGGTCACTTGCACAGTGTCCCCATACATGTATGCATGTGGTATTGGGACGTACGGACCTTCTTTGCAGTCGCTTCTTATGCATACTACCTCTGCAGTTCTGCGGCTCTCGATCTTTACCACAACTGACACCTTCATCTCTAAAGTGACTGGGGTCTTGGTTTCCATGTTACTGAGTTTTATTTCTACCACTGGACTCACAGTAGTGCATCTATCATTGTTGAGCTCTAACGGTGGGTCCAGAAGGGCCTTCAGAGATATCTGTTGAGTCTCTCCTGGTGCAACATGACCCTCAGGGATATGTATGCTGATACTGGTATTTGGTAGCTGCACAGCTCCACCAGAGCTGTCCAGTTTGCAGACTATGTTGGTCTCTATTGGTTGGGTTTGCCCCCATCCTGGGTTTTGTCCAATTGAGTCCAGGTCATGGCAGGATCTCGTAAATTTACGATGATTTAGCCATGCTGTTTTGAAGTCCTCTCTACTTTGAAAATGCTCAGGTTTAGGCGACTTCATGCTGCCAAAATAACTCAAGGAACCTTGATTTCCTTCAGACAGGGACTGCAGGACTGACAGCTCTGACATGCTGTAGCAGCGCTTGTTCTTAAAAAATGGATTGTCTCGGCGAAGATTCACACCTGAGCTCAGGCTAAAACTGTTTGTGTCAAGCAGGCCATTTTCAAAGCCATTTATATTAACAGTGCTACTGGTGTTTGAGATGGGAGGTGAGAAATGATCAAAGCAAAAGGTATTTGCTGAATTTTGGTTGCTGTTTTGGTCAGTGGTGTCTTGCAGTGTGCTGTTTAGGAATGGGTTATTTGACATGCGTTTATTAACAAAAGGATTTTCATGTCTAGATTCTGTGGTTTTGGAGGACATCGTCCAGTCCCCTGAGATGTCCATTTCTTTCACTCCTTCAGAAATGTCACATATGCTGTCAATCATGCCGCTGTCACTGAACGAGGAGTCCCGATAATTGATCGGCTGGACATAAGCAGCTGGGATGTACCCCATCTCCTTGCTGTTGTGTGCATACCACCACTCTCCACCTGATGTGTCTATGACATAAAGACAGTCTCCTTTTGAGAACTTAAGTGTGGTAAAGCTGGACGGGCAGTAATCCTTAATGGCAATCACTTCCCTGGCAGCTCCAAATGAGGCAGTAGCATCCAGTCGTAAAGAACTAGGTGAAGGGACTGTTGATTGATAAATAAACAAATGAATAAAACGATTTCAAAAGTTAACCATGTTTATTGTGTAAAAATGATAAGGGAGACCTTTGACATCTGTGAGGGTGGCCTCTGAAACTCCTTCATTGAGATCGATTAGTGCGCCTTCAGATCTGCAGCGAGGGAGCACAGTGTTGTTGTTCGCTGATCTAATGCGATGAGCAGCCATGGTGTGTATTGCTACCAAACTCCTCCTTTTATCTATGTTTTACCTATGTTTTTCTTTCCATTGTTTAGCTTCTTATCGGCAGATTAGTGGCCTTAAAACAAAGCAAAAGATAATGGTATTATCAGTTAATTCTTCTGAATATTTATGTATGTATGTGTGTATGTATGTATGTGTGTGTGTGTGTATGTTGTTTGGAAAGTTACTTTTAGTATGTAAGTAAGTAATGTGCATTTATAAAGGACGAAAGGACCCTCTTCATGCCCCTACCAGTGTAAAGCGTCCACTAGGATGATGCGATGGCAGCCACAGGACAACAGCGTTAGTGCGCTTACCATACACCAACTATAGGGGGAGTAGAGAGACAAGCTGTGTCTCATTTCAGACGCACTTCAAATGTGAGTCCTTCGACTCAAAAACAGCTGCTGTTAATAAGCACTGATAAAATTTGTAATGATTTTTTTCAAAGTGATTTTAAAACTTATTTTAAGCGATCTGAAGGCAAAACACAATATACAGAAGCTGGAAATATATTTCCTTTGATCCATGCATGTACACTTAAAAATGTAAAATGTCTATAAAATCCCTCTTTAGTAAGACATGTCATACTCTTTTTGTTTTTTAACATGTTTAGATATCTAAGTAAAGTAAACTTAATTTTATAAATTTAAACCAAAGTTTTCTTTTAAAAAACGTCCGGCCATTATCAGCGCACAGTAAATCTTGGGATGTTCGAGGCCTGGAAGGATCCACCTGTAGAGTCCTTACCTGGGAAACGAAGGACACATATGGGGGCTGCATTTGAAGGAGCCTTAGAGTTTTTTTTTAAATGAGACAGCCTTCATCGCGCCACGATGATGCAGCACACTTCAAGCACCCTCTGGAGGATGCAGCCTCTGAAATGAGACACAGCTATAGTGAACCAGTTCGGTGGAGGGGAATGTTTGGGAGGCCATGATTGTGAGGACCGAGGGTTGGAATTTGGCCAGGAAACCAGATTACACCCCTGGGGCCTCATGTATCAACGCTGCGTACGCACAAAAACTTTGCGTACGCCAGATTTCACGCTCAGAATCGCTCACGTTTGGATTTACTAACAATGAACTGAACGTGGGAATGTGCGCAACTTCACGGCAGGTTTCTGGCAGGCGTACGCACATTTTTTGTGCGTGTCTGTTTTATTTCCATTGGCGACTCCTAGAGGCAGTTGTGTTAAATTCTTCTCTACAAAGTGTCTGATCCTTGCAATGGCAGCTGTATGAGACGGGTTCATATAGTAGGTATGTAAGATTTCCATACCACACAGTTGACCAGCTAAACATTAAATCAATTTGCAGCGGTCGCCTGTTTTCCCAATGTAATCTGAGCTATCTACTGCACGCACATTGCTATAAAGACACTATCTGAAGATAAATTTGCATGCGTGAATCAGAAACATTTCCATTCAATAAATGTGCAAATAAAATATGATGCACAAACTTATTAATGATTCCTACTTGTCTTTCTCGTGATAAATAGTGGGCAAAATCTGATATGTAGCGGGAAAAAAAGAAGAAAGAATTCATCAGACGCTGGATTCGAACCGAGTTTGTGCTCGAACGTGTCAGTATATGATCATATGCTTCTTATGAGGTGCGCCACTGAGACTGCTAAGGGTACTGCAACATTTTACAGATATAAACCACACTATTTCTTTTGTAAATGCACTCAGTGCGATGTTCAGACCCAACTGTGTTAACCGTATCAGCTAAACTCTCCCACTCTATTTTTTTCTTTTGTTGTTAATTCCGGAGAACAAACTTGCAAATAACACCGCTTTTCTCCGTTCTACCTCCGAAAGCAGCACCTCCAATTCACATTCTGTTCAAAGTTTCTCTTTTTGTTTGATTTTGCCGTTGCTTTTTCGTTGGGTTTTGCCATTAGCATAGTCATTAGCATATTCATACGGGGGAGGAGGCAGGGAGGGGTTTTGCGCTCGTGCATGTTGCGCTCAGTTTCACGTTCATTCGGATGTACAAAAGAATATGCGTGAGATTCGGCGTACGCAGTGTTTCATACATCTGAAATTTTTTCTGCGTACGCACATTTACAGCTTTGTGCGTACGCAATGTTTTAGTAAGATTTCCACGCAAGTCTTCGTACATGAGGCCCCTGGTCTTTACGAGAAGTGCCAAGGGACTTTTAATGACCATAGAGAATCAGAACCTGAGTTTAACATCTCATCTGAAAGACAATGCTCACTGACAGTATATCGTCCCCCTCACTATACTGGGGCATCAGGACTCATATACAAGCAAGTTGAGCACCCCCTGCTGGCCTCACTAACACCAATAGCACCCTTGTTTTACCATGTGGTCTCCTATCCAGGTACAAACCAGGTGTAGCCCTGCTTTAGTGAATAAGTGGTCTTGGACTGATAAGGCTGTGGCCATAGAAAATTTTGTAATAATTCCAAAGAATTCATCTTTTAGTGAAAGTTGCTTCAAAGATCCATTGTTTTATCTAAAGAACATTCTCCACTGTTTTACCAAATAAAGATTTATTTAGCTTAAATTTTCCAAATCATTGATCTGAGCATTCATTCAACCACAGGTGAGTGATTTAAATAATAGTCGACACTGATAGCTATACATTTTGCATTCAGTGTTAATCAGTTATTTTATGACAGTAAGATGTCATTGCAGAGCTGATAAAACTCTTTTCATATTGGTCTATATCAGACATATTAGGAACATTTAATTTTTATCTATTTTAGTTTCATAAAAATAAATGGACTCACATTTTGCCAGTACTTGTCTTGAAGTAAGGGTGATATAGGCAGAAATATTTGTTCCTGTCCAGGCATGTCTACCATATTCATGACATCCTTTTGAACACAAACAGAATAAAAGGCCCTGGTCTCAATGAAGGTTCACACAGTCAGTTGCTCACACTATGTAGCCTGACATCAAATGCACATGTCTCTCCTCTTTTTGTGTGTCAATAACTATATGTTTGTATTTATTTTATTTTTGTGAAATGACTTATGATTGCTTTAAATATTGTGCAAAGTGGTTGAATTATTCATAAATAAATAGAAGTTGTATCTCAGTGGCTTTAAGTGTGTGATATCCAAGCTTAAGGATCAAACATCACTTGCTTTTAGTAATCAGAAGTAGGATCATGTTTGAGTGGAACTCAGCATCCTCTTAAGTCTGATCATGAACTATAAAGGCTCTCCAGCAATACACATCAGTGGTTTCCATGGCTACCACCTTGGGGAAGAGAGCACATACAGACAAGTGCCTTTAGAGAAAATGCCCAGCTGTAGCTTACTAGCATGTCTTAGGCACATCAGCCTGCTACATTATCAAACTACAAACTGTAGTGCAATCCAGTAGATAACTAAGGCTGGACTTAAACCAGTATAAAACCTCACCATTTTTGAAAGAAAAGCCATTTAGGTTGCGCTACGGAGAGCAATACTGTTTCATATACACTGAATGAAGACTGTTAACACTAACATTTATTAGAGAGCAATGATTTTCCAGTGAGAACTGAGCAAAATGTTTCTGAAAATGGCAACTGTTGTTACAACCTGCTTTTTAAGAAAATAATTTAACTTTGTTCATTTGTGTATACACCTGCTCTGTGAGAAACTGTTACACCTTTTGTTTCGTAAAACAGAGGAAATGCCAGCGAAATAAGGATGTGCTGCATTTCCTAAAACTTTTATTGCAACTGTTTCAGTGAACCAGCACCAATTGGGTATGTTCATACTTGCCTGTGATGTAAAAAAAAATCACAGTGCAAGTTAAATTAATTATTACTGTCAAGCATGCACATCTATATAATCTTCTTTTAAACTTTAGTTTTCAAATGCTAAAATATGTTTATAAAATATGTTTATAAAATTCTGCTGTTTTTGTTTCTGTCACTTTTAAGCTATATTTTTTCTAAGGTCTACAGAACAAACCATTGTTATACAATAACTTGCCTAATTACCCTAACCTGCCTATAGTTAACCTGATTAACCTAGTTAAGCCTTTAAATGTCACTCTTAGCTGTTTAGAAGTGTCTCAAAAATAAATAGTGAAATATTATGTACTGTCATCATAGCAAAGGTAAAATAAATCAGTTATTAGAAATGAGTTATTAAAACTATTATGTTTAGAAATGTGTTGAAAAAATCTTTACGTTAAACAGGGATTGAGGGAAAAAATAAACAGGGGCTAAGAGACTAATTCAGGGGGGAGGGAGAATTTTCGTCAAATATGGTACCATCCGGGCAGAGCTCAAAACTGTATCTGCATGCTTAATTGTAAAGTTTTTCCTCACAATTTAAAAAAAAATGTGTCTAGATTACTTTTGAAAAATTATGATATTCAGACTGTTAAATTAAACATTCATGCTGCTCAGCTTGAATATATTATTTAATAGTAGCTTCTAAGTAGTTTGACATGAGAGGTTTCCTGAGGCTTTAAGTTCTGATATAATAGAAAATGAGCACCCCTTACAGTTAAAATAATCTAAATATAGAGCAAATTGTCTGACAATTCTTAAGTTATTGTCCGAGTTTTCACCACAAATTGCAAGGTTAAGCCTCAAGCGGTGAGATTATGTAAGATAAAAGACAGTCTCCGAAGGCTGGGTGAAACTCAAGACAAGTTGAAACTGATTGTGAAACAGAAACGCAGGAGGGCATTCGGAAATCTACACACTCTCACAAGCTTCACTTCCATGCGAGTTTTAAGTGTCAAACAGCGCGAAAAAATCAATTATATTTAATCAAAAGTCTCATCAGCTGCAGTAATGAGTGCTCAGGAGGGAAAAGTGGCTGACAATCAAACGAACGGCAGTGCAATACTAATCGATGAAAACCCCGAAACAGAAATAAAGGTCAAATACATAAGTTGACTTACTTTTTGTCAGATGCGGTCAGTGTCTGGAGAGCGGACCGTTATATGTATGGCTGCTGCAAGCGCGCGACACCCTGTAGCTACAGTACGAGAAACTGCGTGATG